AGATAAACTCCAAATTCACGCTTCTAGCTACTCTGGGATTATTTTCTTCTTCTTTGTGTGTTTTTAGTTTCTGGATTGTTTATGAGTGTGTGTTTGGAGTTTTCAGGAGCAAGGGTTTTTGTTCTGTACGGTTCAATTTGTTAGGGTTTGAGTGAATGTGAGCTTTAGCTTCAGCTATGGAGGGTTGTTCAGGAGGAGAGGAGAAAAAGTTATTGGAGGAGGAGAACAAGGTCAAGCGCAAAATGAAGTCTGCTTCACAGTTGAAGATTCTGGAAAAAACATATGCTGGTAAGTGAGTAAAATTTTAGGTATTTTTTTGTGCATTTCTTTGACTTGAAGTTGAATTTGGGTTGAAATGTCCATTTTTGTGTTTTTGGTTCAGTCGAGCTTTATCCATCTGAGGCGTTGAGGGTTGAGTTATCTGTGAAGTTGGGTTTGTCTGATCGTCAGTTGCAGATGTGGTTTTATCACCGGAGAGTGAAGGATAGGAAGGCTTCGCCGATGGTTAATAAGGTTGCGGCGGCGAGTTTGGCTTCAATGGGAGAGGTTCAATTTTCAATCATGATGTAACTGCCAATGGTTGTTCAATTTTCAATCGATTGCCGCATTGATATAATACGATGGGGAGAAGAACTAATATTTGCTTGAAGCTTAATCGCTAGACATGGGAACTGATAAATAGTTTATCCTGAATGCAAAATGCTACTGAGAAAAGCCAAAAGGTCTTTATGCATGTGCAATCAGAGATAGCTGCTCATGAGGTTGAGGAAATAGGTATAGCATTTAATGTAAAACTGCTATGGTTCATTTTGGTTTGTTTTTCTTTAGACTTTTGAATTTTATCCATTTAGACACTGACTGAAGATTTTGTTTTATGAATTCTTCTTATCCTTGTGCAGGAGTGGAACACTTGCTTAGGGATGTAAAGGATACAACTAGGGGTGGACAAAATTTTCCAACCCAGCCCAAACCGACCTACCCAAAGGACCCGAAAATATGCGGGTCGGGTTAGGCGGGTTATCAGGTTAACTATTTGCAAAAAAGGGTTAAAATGGTTATTCACGCAGCATGTTATCCGCTACTCAAGGAAATCTTTACGGGAGAGCCTGTAAATCCAAGTGCATGGAGGTTAATATCTGTAGTTTTTGTAGGAAATTACAGCTTAGTTTCCCATATCATATAACATTATAATGCTTACTTTGTTCAATTGCTTTCAGATGGTTTTACAATGTAGTTGGAGATTCAAGATGCCCTAGAAGCCTGGTTCTGCTACTTGCCCATTTTTTGGAGTCGAGGTTTGTTAAGAAAACCTCATTTCGTTATTTTTAATATATATGACATGTTTGGTTTAGAGTTTTTTATGCTATTCTGGAGTTATCGATTCCCAACAACATTGTTGTGAAGAGAATGGGGGAACTTGACAGCGAGTCATTCCTTGAAGCTATGAAGAAGAAATATAAAGAGGAGAAAGCTGAAGTGAGAGCTGCCAACCTGTGCTCACTATGGGAATTCTATATGAAAGACCCAGACTCGCATCCATTCAAATTTGTCACATATGATGGCAAAAAAAGGGTACACTTTAGTTTAAATTAACACAATGTTCTCTTGCTTCATTTGGGACAGTTTATTTCTAATGTAAATATTTGTGCAATAGTTTCAAATTCATTTTATAACATCTAGTGCTCGCACTTGGAAATCTGGTTACCTGGATTTTTCATTTTAGGAAATTATTGATGATGCTGATAAAAAGCTTAATGGACTTAAGAGAAGCGTTGGAAAAGCGGCATATAATGCGGTGGCGGTAGCTCTAACAGAGTTAAATGAATACAATCCCAGCGGGCGATATGTAACCTCAGAATTATGGAACTATGATGAGGATAGAAGAGCAACTCTGCAAGAAGGAATACAATTTCTGATGGACAACTCATCAAACAAACGCGATAAGGGAAAAAATACACTGGGAAGGTTTGTATATAAGTTATAATAATCTATACAATTCATTTATGTGGATATTGTATTTCTGTTAAGAAGTTACATGTGATTTCTGTTAAGAAGTTACATGTCATTTATGTGGATACTGCATTAGATATGATTAGAAAGAGTAGTTTTCCAATCATCTTTTGTGGATGCTAAAATATGATCTTAGTGCCACCTCCAATATATGTGCCATCCTGCAGGAGACCAAGATGTGCCATCCTGCAGACCACAAAAAGAAAGAGTAGTTTTCCATTTGCTTTTTCTTTTGTGGATGCTAAAATACAAGTTGTGTTCTGCAGGAGACCAAGATGCTATCCAATATATGTGTAGGGAGGCACCAAAAGTAGTCATTGAACTTGAAAATTATGGATTGCCATTTTCACGAATCAAAGATGGAAGAATAAACAAGTGCAGCGCATACTCATAATCTTTACCTACATGCCACATGAAGCAAACAATCCATAATGGGTTTTCTTCTGTGTTTACAATTGCCTTCATTGGAGATGATCTTTTTGTACTTCAGCAGTTTGCAGGCATAAATGGAGTTCTTTATTTTTCATTATTGACCTTTCATGACGTCGGAATTCAAAGTAGTGCTTTAGCAAGCTTGTTTGTTGGGCTTACAAACTTTGCAGGTTTGCAGTATTCATTGCATTTATTTATCTAAATATAAGTTTCATCTTGAACTTAGATCCTGATTGTTGTGAACTGATTCTTTTCTTTAGGTGCCCTTTGTGCTTTATACTAAATCAATAGGGAAGGGAGGAAAAAACTTATTATAGGAAGCTACTTAGGAATGGTGAGTATGTACAAGATGCCCGTAGCTTGTTTCTCGGTATATGTAAACAACAGTATCATGCATGTGCAGGCACATGCTGAATTTGTTTAGGTCTTATTCCTTGGTAACTCTTTTCTCCTTTCTTCATTCCGTTGTTCATGTTTGCATCTTCATGCTCCATAGAACTTTAAAAGAATTCCAATTATCATGCATCACAGTGCTTGTCCAATTTTCACAATACTGAATATATATTTCAGGTGTCAAATCCTCTATTTGACCTTGCTGGCATCATGTGTGGACAATTTGGCGTTCCGTTTTGGAATTTTTTTTCCTTGCGACTTTGATTGGAAAGGCAATTATTAAAACTCACATACAGGTAATATATGATATATGTTGTTGTTCTATTGCAGTTCTTGAATTCTTTGTTGTTCTATATACTGTTGTTCCATTAATACATGCTTTAGGGTGGATGAAAGCTGGTATAAGCTGCTGTTTGAGACCTATAACATTAGTGTTTGGTATAAGTTGTTGTTTAAGAACTACTGCTTAAGGATGTTATCACTATAGCATTAGTGTTTGTGTAAAATATTGAGAGTTTTTATTTTGGTTGATTGTAATATATTAATAGGTTGTATGTTGCCATATGCTTGCTGCAGCAAATATGATTAAACTATTAGATAACAGAATGCCACAATGCTCGAATGCTTGCTTGAATGCTTCCATCATGTATATTTTTGGAACAGGCTCGCAACTTATGGTTTAACAGATTGATTTGGTGTTTGTCAGATAATTGACTTGGCAACATTAACTGGGGCATGTATAATTGCAGATAATTAACAAGGTGAGATTCACTATCCTGAAGTTTGGATGAAGTTATTATTGATCTTTTCTTATTTTTCCTCTGTATCTAGGATTCATTATCATGTTACATTTAGGATTCATTGTTATTTTATGGCTTAATATTTGAAATATAATTTTAGATGCTCAACAAAGAACATGAAAGGGCAGAAAACTCAAAATCTGTACCAGTGCCAAGTGCAGCTGCATAAGGTTTGAGGGTTGTAATGGTTTGAGCTCTAAAGGCACCGTGATTGATTCCATGGGCTGAGATTCTTACAACTTAGATTGCTTTTGTCAGTCTTCTTCAGCATTTCTGATAGGGTAGAGAAATACATGTAACATGGCATAATGATCCTTTTGCATTATTTATCTATTTCACACTTCTATTCTATGATCATATGATCATATCCTTTTGCACTATTTAATCTATTTCACTCTTCTATCCTATGATCATATCCTTAGTTTAGTATTTTTGTTAACATCTTTTGAATGACTTATTAAAAACGATTTGATCACGATATCAGGAATCAAATTTATCACTTTTCCATCAACAGATTTAGATTAGTTAAAGCACCTGCAGTGTTGTGAGTTGCAACTCGAGAAAGATATATCCTTAGTATGTAAATTACCTATGCGGCAATCGATTGAAATTTGTTTGAAGTAAGGAATATATTTCTTATGTTGGGTCTTTGTTGTTGCAGGATATACATAATACTCTTTTGCCCTCTCCTGTGCATATAAAACAAACGAAAAAGACTAAAGTGCCACAAGAGCTCGGTACAAATGGAAACGGATCCATTCAGCAAAATGATAGTGATAATAAAAGTGTGTTTGGCATTTTGATATCGTCTGTCGTCAGCTGTTACTAAATCTTCATTGTTTGTTCAAATGTAGGTGATTACCGCGAGATATACCAAGCACCATAGTTACTGAATCTTCATTGTTTGTTCAAATGTAGGTCTTTTGTGCTCAACAAGGACACCGAATGTTGGTCTACGAGTACATGAACCGCAGTTCACTCGACCAGAACCTCTTCAGAAGTGTTGGACAACCGGTTTTGGAATGGCAAGAGAGATTAGACGTTGCACTTGGAACAGTGCGCGGACTCGCTTATCTTCATAGCGGATGTGAGAAAAAGATAATTCACTATGATATCAAACCAGAGAATATTCTTCTGCATGATCAATTTCAAGCTAAGACATCTGATTTCGGACTTTCGAAGCTTCTTAGTCCTGAACAATCTGGTTTATTCACAACAATGCGAGGAACTCGCGGTTATCTTGCTCCGGAATGGCTAACAAACTCAGCAATATCTGAAAAAACTGATGTATACAGTTACTGAATGGTGCTTCTTGAACTGATCAGTGGTAGAAAAAACTGTTCATTCAGATCCAGAACTCACAGCATGGATGATGAACACAACAACATCAGTGGAAACAATGGAAATTCATCAAACTCGTCAACGACGGAACTTATTTATTTTCTACTATTCGCATTAGAGATGCACGAACAAAAGAGTTACATGGATTTAGCCGATCCAAGACTAGAAGGACATGTTACATTTGATGAAGTTGAGAAACTTGTTCCTATTGCATTGTGTTGTGTTCATGAAGATCCAGCACTTAGACCAAACATGGTTACTGTTGTAGGAATGTTGGAAGGTGGAACACCATTGCCACAACCTAGGATGGAGTGCTTGAATTTCTTGAGATTCTATGGTCGGAGGTTTTCTGAGGCTTCTGTTGTAGCTGAAGAAAATGAACATGGTTCTGTGAGGGTTCAGCAGCCGCGTGACTCAACAGGGTTGGTTAGTGGGTTTTCTTACATATCTTCACAACAAATATCAGGGCCAAGATAGTGGTTTTCTGTTAATTGTGATTTATTTCTTCTTATGTTAATAAACCAAATTTAGCAATACTGGCTTTACATTGTTATGAACTTCCAACCTTCCAATCTTTAAAATATTTTGATTGTTAACCGATTCTTTAATATATATATATATATATATATATATATATATATATATATATATATATATATATATATATATATATATATATATATATATATATATATATATATATATATATATATATATATATATATATATATATATATATATATATATATATATTAAAAAAATGTTATTACTAAAAAAAAAACAACTTCTTAGGTCGGTTAATTATACCTGATTTAAGAAAGTAAGTTCTTAGGTCGGGTATAAATGGTTTCTGCAGGCTAGACTTATTAAGTCGGGTTCTGTCTAACCGACCTAATAATAGTTTGTTAAGTCAGGTCCACAACCGACTTAAGAAGTCAAAACTTAGGTCGGGTATAAATGGTTTCTGCAGGCTAGACTTATTAAGTCGGGTTCTGTCTAACCGACCTAATAATAGTTTGTTAAGTCAGGTCCACAACCGACTTAAGAAGTCAAAACTTCTTATGTCGGTAATTCTTAGGTCGGGCTCGGACCCGACTTAAAAAGTCATTTTTAACCGACTTAAAAAGCCTTTTTTCCACTAGTGCATGTTTGACATATTCCGCATAAAGCTCATACAAATCACCCTTAATCTTTTTACACTTGTCTTCACTTGTTGTATCGTCGAATTTTGGGATAAGCTTACAACTGTTCACATGACGAGTTAAATGAGAAGTTCCATTAGTTGCAATACAACTCATTAATTTTCCACAACCCTTACATTTACATTTCTCTTTACCCTCTATGATCTCAACCTTTAAAAAATGTTTCCACACTTCAAATGTAAGAGCCTTTTGTATTTTGGTAGTTAGTTCAGAAGACTCTTCTTAGTTAATTTTAGTGTTATTAAGATCAATTACATTAAATAGAAAAAATAACGGCACATGTGGAGTTTCCCTAACTTGCCTATCATTAACCACACTATCACTATTAATTTCCATAATTACTTATAGTAGACACAAATTACTTATAATTAACAAATTTCTAATATAAAGTATAGCTTAAACATTGGCAAATTATTTGCTCCGTATAGCTTAAACTTTTAAATTATTTCTAGTAAAAGGTTCAAGTAAAATGTTAAACTTTTATGAAATCATATGCCACTGATTGATTACTAGTAACATTTATATTAAAATAAAGAATCTATCATTCCTTATTTTTCAAGATTTTCCAGCGGCTAGGTCAAATTCAATGTTATTTAAGCTAAAATTTATCTCTTTTTTTCACAAGTTAGTGGAAGTTTAAAATCATCTTCATCGCTATGAACACCATGACAGTATTGAGTTATTTCAAGAAGAGAAAGAAAATTATTAAACTCATCTTTGAACATCTCACATCTCAGCAACATAAACTATTTCATTATGATTTCAAATGTCATATAAATTTTTTAAAATTTCTAGTAATGAAATCATAATGGCTGAGATGTATGCAAAGTTGATAACCTAGCCCTTGATGGAAGAACTCATCTTTGAATGGAATCATAATGGCTGAAATCATAATGTAAAATTACTAAACTCATCTTTGAAGTTTGAATACTTACTTGATGGAAGAACGAAGCACACTGCGAAGACGAAGAACGATGCGAATACGAAGTAGAGAGCAAACGGAACAACGAAGCACCAAGTATTATGACATTGCCGCTGTAGTGAGTACTGAGCAGTGGTGTTTGGGTAGTTCAATCAAGCTCAACTAATCGATGTATTCAATTTCAATTCCAAAATGTAAATGGGCTAAACCAAAGTGTATTGTAATTAATTATTATGTATCCAATTTCAAATTTAATGTGATTTATCCTTTAGGCTGCACCTATTGTATTGTATGTATTCAAAACCAAATAATTAAATTAGTTCGGGTTGCCGGGCTACCCATAGTTCATACGGGCTGACCTATTTTTTTAGGGCTTTTTCGGGCCGGATTAAAAAAGGTTCGGAATAATATGGGCTCTAAAAATAAGGCCCAACCCCTAATTTTTTTTTGCGCTCGGTGGTCTGACCCATGGGCTTCGGCTCATTTTAACAGTTCTAGTTCCGAGCAATCAAAGGCCTGCTAAAGCATATTGAACTACAAGAGGCCAACGAGCAATTAACCTGCCACCCTTATATTTAAACATCGCACCCCTCCCTAATCTGTATGAATAGATCAAACTAACTCTGAAATTTTTTTTTTCAAAAATTCTAACTTTACGATGCGGCGGCGGAATTTTCAAATTTCAGGACGCATATCAGAAATTTCAAAAAACTACTGAAAATTTTCAAACAAGTAGGTTTTTCCCAAAAATTCCATAATTTCCCGTATTTTCTACTAGAAATTTTAAAATTTTAGGTATTTTTTACCAGAAATTTCAATATTTGCAGTAGTTTAAAAAACCTAGTCTTCTTCAAAAATTTTAAAATTTTAGGTAGTTTTAAAAATCTAGTTTTGTACCGAAAATTTTGAAATTTTAGGTAGGTATAAAAATTTAGTTTCATGCCGAAAATTTCAAATTTTCCGGTAGTTGTCATTGTTATTTTTTTCTAATATTTAGTTTTTTTTCTTCTTTTGTAGTGAAATCCAGAGACAGAGACGGTACTATTGCAGGGAGAGGTGTGGATCGAGCATCAGACTAGGCTAGGGCTGCCAGGGGTGCTGATGCTGAGTCTTTCCAACTATGGGTAGGACAAGTGGTCCCCATCGGTTCACACCAAAAGCGAATTTTTGAGCCGAACCATTTTTGGGTATCTCATTCCACTCGACACTGTGGAGTTAGATCAGTAGAGCAGTCTACAGATAAGGTGCTGCCAAACATTCCTATAGTTGATCTCGTCGGTGAGCCGGTGGTTGAGTCAGTCCTTGAGCCGATGGTTGCCCAATTTGTTGTCCAAGAGGTTGCTTAGGAGGCTGTTGAGGAAGTACAACCAGATGCTGCTATTGGTGATTCGGGCCCATCGGTTACTGTTGAGACAGAGGTTATGGCTCCTACGGTTGAGCCCTCTGTGCATACTGATGGAGGATTCCAAGGAAGACCCATCGACCGGTCTATGATGATAGATTATATTGAGCATGTGACCTTACCATTATTGTAGGGCGAGGTATATGTCTTTTATGTTTAGTTTTAATTTTTGTTTATGTATGTCTGTTATAATCAAGTATCAAGTAATTTGTTTATATTTTGTTGTCACAGGAGCGACCCATACTGAAGATCACATCTCATGGGTCGAAGATGAAGGGCTTCCCGAAGATTCCGATGCCTGAGTAGGTCATTCACATTATACGGGACTTTAAGCTGCTTGATTTTGCATCACTGCTCACTCATCATGTTGGACGCTTCATTGCTTAGTGCCTTTGTTGAGAGGTGGCACAAGGAGACATCATAATTTCATCTTTCGTTTGGGGAGGTGACTTTCACTCTAGATGATGTCTCTGTATTGTTCCATCTCCCTATCAGTGGCAGATTCTAGATGGCTCAAATTCTTAGCGTGACCACCACTTGTCAGGTTGTGTCACATGATTTAATTTTGTATTAGGAGGAGATGTTGGAGGAGTTTGGTGAAACCATGGTGTGCACCTTCGCATGCATTGACTTCAGAAGTTATATGATCGACTTGTAGCTGATGGGAGGTATGAGGTGGACACTAGGGCGTACATGCTACATATAGTATCATGTACGCTCTTTGCAGACAAGTCTGATACTTATGTTGATTCCCGGTACGTGTATCTCTTCAGTAGCCTGAATGACGCTAGTTGGGCTTGGAGGTGTGTTGCGTTGACCATGTTGTATACAACCCTTGGAGTGGCGATGGTCTTTGAGACCAGACAACTTGCTGGCTATTTGAGTCTGTTACTGGTATACTTGAAATTATTATATGTTGCTGCTTTCATATTTATTTTTTACAAATATCATTTGTAAATTATTATTTATTGTGTTTGTGTTCTGATTTCAGTGTTGGATATACGAGCATTTCTCTACCATCTGTGATAGGAAGGTGCAATATTGCGAGGTGGGGGCCCCACGGGCAAAGAGGTGGAAGGACAGATAGGTACATCCTGGTGGTGGTGTTGAGTATATGAGGAGGCTCAATGCTTTTACAATAGATGATGTCATCTGGACACCATACAGTGGTCATAGAGTCCACTGTGAGTTTGAGGAGTCGTCGCTATATTCGGGTTATATGCGGTGGGAGACCATGGCTGTTAGACACTTGCCTGAGAAGTATATGCGATAATATGGTTATGTTTAGGGTATCCCACAACCAGTTCTAGATATTCCAACTTCAGGGATTAACTGGTGGTTTCAGAGTAACTTCTTCAGCTTCGGTCGTGCCGTTAGACATCAAGCAGTAACTTTTCCGCATCCCTCGTAATGTGAGGATGGTTACTTGGATTTGTACCTCATTGTATACAACGCTCGCATCACCCTACCCTGAGCTGATGATGGGCCTTCTGATGATCGGGTACTTGTTGATGACACACCGCCGCCACCTCCTCCAGTAGATCACGCCCATCACCAACAGCGCCTTCATATGATTGCAGTGATTATGGATAACCTCATGGGTTTGGTAAACCCAGATGGTGAGGTATGTACTGGATTAGCTCGGGCTGCACGCATAGCCCGTGAGGGGCCTATTTATATACATTTTTTATTATTTGTATTATTTGTATATTATTCAGACATCTTTATCATAACACTTTATTAGCTAATATTAGTGATCTTCCATAAACACAGTGAGAATGTTAACTAACATTCAACAATGGTTTTCATAACTTAACCAGAAAACACTTCAAATTACAATATGATTAATAAATAAGAAAACCCTAAAGACTACCAGACGCTTCAGGACATTTCAGCATCTCCATTAAGTCGTCAACGAATCTTGACAACTTTGTATCTAACTCGATTGACA